CTGGTTTTATGGGAAAGCTTTCTCTTTCTTTGTTATTTTCTTTTGATCGTGTCTGCATCATTCAATATTTGCCCCCAGAATCCTTCAGTATTGCAGTCCAAGTCTCGAAGTTTTTCTTCAGTTCTTTCATCTTGAGAAATGCTGAGCGTGTTCTTCCCTTTTGGCTTTCTAACTTCTTCTCATTGTACATTGCAGGATAATGCTTGACTTTGTCTTCTTGAGCTTCCCTTTGACATAATCTGTTCAGCTCTTTTTACTTCATCGCTTATTTCATTTACTTTAGCTACTCTACATTTAAGAGCAAGTTTCAGTCTCTTCTGACATCCATTTTGGTCTTTTCATTCTTTCATGTCTTTTTTTTTTATGTTTTATTGTGAATTATGTGATAGTTTACATGGGAGAACATGAGCTTTACATTCATCTTATTGTATATCATTTCATTGCCATGGTTACAATCCCCTCCATGCATTATCAACCAACCAAAGGGTATACACTATAAGCCTGCCCCCCAATCTTCAGCACACAGCCCCTCCCCCTCTCTGTGTCTAAAGTTCCCAGCTGCCCCATCTCTCCATGTCGTCGTCTCTGCCTCCATCTCAGGCCTCACTGCTTCTCTGGATAGGGTCCCGCTCTCTGCTCTTCTCCCTTGATGGTCCCAGGGACTTCCACTCCTAGACTGAATCATTCCACTTCTTGCTACAAAGCGTCTACCTTTATGTTTCCAACTCTCACAATCAGTCGTGATAACAATTATTCACTATTGGATCACAAGAGACCCATCTGCATTTCATTTCATCAGCCCCACCTAGACAGATTGGATACTACTCAGTGGAGATTCTACCTTCCTCCACGCCCTCTGGAACTAGGTTTTCTCTTGAAAGCGTGTAAGCCAGTCACTTCTTGCCTTTTAGCCCCCCTCCCACCCCATTTTGGGTAGCCAATGTCCAAGTTACCCATCCCTGTCTACTCTGTGTATGGAGGGGGTTGGAGTGATTCTCGCTGTAAAGATTTGTTCCCTCTTTTGAACTCCTGCATCCATAGATGTAGGACAAGTTCATCAAATTGTATCAGATTACTCTTTTTTCTTCTTCTCGTTGAGCTCTGATCATCCAGTCATTGAAGCCAGGTCAAGTGGGTATTATCTGCAAGTGTGGGTGTTCTTGTGCATATGCCCTCTCTTCTTATCCGCTATG